CGCGCGGACTGGCTGGTGCGACGAAAAAGCAGGGAATGAGGGCAGTTTCGCCCCCCCCCCCCGAGATTCCGACATGGATCCAGCCATTTTTCATGGCCCACGAGGCCGTCCCACGACGGTCGGATGGGCCACACTCCGTCCCTTCTTCCGCCCGCACCGACGGCGGTGGACTCTTCCCGAAGCGGTGGACTCTTCGCATCCCCGAAATCCGTTGGTTCGGAGCTTTTCAAAAAAAAAGAACACAGGACCCACACACAACTCGTCAAAGCCGCTTGCGCCTGGCGCGGTGGCTTGTTCGCACACACAGCGCCGTCGGAAACGTGTGAAGTGTTCTTGAAGACCCCGGGTGACTCCACCAATTCTCCCAATTCTCCCACCGCGTGGTGGGCGTGCCACCGGGATCCCCTTCCCCCCTTCCCCCACGCCGCCGCGCCTGCAGTGCCCCGCACTTCGACCCTCAGGGGCACCGCCGCCAGGTCCGTCTGGCCATCGAAGCATTCTTCGGGAGAGCGAAGAACGTCGAACGAAGCGGAAGTGATCTGACCGAGATCGAAACCGGTCGAAGCCCGAACATGGGAGGCTTCCTACATAGGAAGCCCATTCAGAGTGGTTGGTGGATCACCTACGGAGCCGGTTTGGTTGTTTTATACCCCACCAAAAAGAAATAATTGCACAGAGTTCCAAGACTGTCGCCGTGAAATTCTTTCTGTGCCAAATTTAAAATGGCAGGCTATTGTGCCAGAATTTGGATCAGCAAAACCAGGTGGTGAATATCCAAAAACATTGATCTCATGGATGAAAGCACGTGCAAGTAAATGGTGCCAATTGAATAAGAGCAGTTGTTTCGGAATTGACATACAGAGCTCTCAAAAAAAAGGGGGGCCCACTCCGGTATGTTGTCTTTGAAGTAGAGTAAACGAACTCCGTTGTGTTCTGTGATCAGAAATGCATGCCCGTCATTTTGTGGTGATGGGGGTTGATCTATTCTGGCACCTTTGGGGGTCTTAGACAAATCAAAGTTTGCTGGAAGAATTCCCCATTTAGGGGCCTGTAGCCTCTCTCATACCTTTACCAGGACAAGGCCTACCACAAAAGAGCATCAAACCTGCGCTCCACATGAATCTCCCTCCCCATTAGCTGAGGCTCAAAGCACTGCAGGGCACCCCCCCATTAGCCGCTCGCGTCGCGAGCAACGTCGCGAGCCAGGTTCGATGCCCACCTCCCGTGAGAGCCCAGCCGATTTCAAGGCCAGGTGGAGTTCCTGCGATCTGGATGATCAGATGGGCCGGCTTTGAGAGGTGCGAAGGAGATTGGTAGGCAGAGCTCGGTTCGAAGCAGCGCACTCATCCATCTAAGCCCGCACAAAATTAGCCATGCTTGTAGAATCAGCGAAGTGTGCTGGCGTATCCGTATGATGGGAAAGCTCGAGTCAACATCTCATGATTCCAAAAAGGCTAAGCTACCGTACACTCAAACAAACCATGCTCCTCCATCACAGAGCAAAAGGATTCACCCTAGTCTGCCAAGACCCTTAAAAGAAAGGTGAACGTGGTATTGTAGTCAAACATCCGTAGTAAGACCATGGTCGCTCGGTAAAAATGTGTGACAACCCACTATAGATCACTATCACTATATGTATATATGCTGGTTGGAATCCTAGAGCTCAGGTTATACTTAAAAGATTTTAAAAGAAAACTAGACGACGAGTGGCGACGACGAGTGGCCCGAAAGCATTTTTCATCACGTAGGAAGTCAGAGTGCGAGTTATCTGTTAAGTGTGCAGTGTGAAGTGTGAAGTCGAGTGAGTTGAGGTAGTGTGTGGGCTTCTGTGCGTGTATCTATGTCCATGTGGAAATGAGTCTGCGTATGTGTGTGTTCGTGTAAGTTGAGGCAGTGTGTGGGTGTCTGTGTGTGGTGCGGCCTCCCAAACCCCCCACCGGCGGCCAAGCGGTGACAGCCCAGCTCATCGTCGTGAGCATTTGGGCTGCTGGTAAGGGGAGAAGCAGCGTGCACGGCCAGGAAAAGCTCACGGAAAAAAAACGAACCGGAATGAGGACAGAAAAGCGCCGAGGCAGGTACGCCAGAAGTGTCTCGAAGCAGTGACCTGTCAGAGGAGATGAACGA